CCCCCATGTAACCTAACCCACAATCCTTCTACTTTCTCCTCCTCCAATTCCATTTTGCTAAGGGTCGATGTATATCGCTCATTGACATAGAGCGCCCCCCTCCCCCTCTCTTTCCCACTCTATCCTTTCTGTTCAGCTTATAACCCTCAATGTGTACCGCCCAGTCGTGGGAAGGATCCCACCAGGTTTCTGTTAGCCCTACTAAGTCGTAAGTGTTTTCTGCAAGCAGGAGCGCTAGTTCATCCTGCTTGCTCCCCATGCTCCTAGCGTTAGTGTATAGGCACTTGAGGCCTGTGACATGCGCCTTTGTTGCCCCCCGGCTCTGATGCCCAAATGGCCCCTTATTGCTTACCTGCTTATTGCTTACCTGTGCTGTACTGCTGGCCGCCCCATGGATTGCAGGTTCCCGATGTTCTCCTTCTTCAGGCTGGGCTTTCCTTGTGGGTGGCACATGGTTTTGCCACAATAATTTAGTCTTCCAATCAGGAAATAGGACCACCACCATTTGACCAGTCCTACAGTATAGATACTTAATAGTCCAAGTGAACATTTCACAATCATAACATGGTCTCATAGTATCACCAAAGGTCACCACATTAATTTTGACCTGCTAATAGTCAGAAAAATCTTATCTATTCTTCACACGTTACTGTTTTATTTACAAAGCTAACACATTCCAAAAAAAGACCACGTGTCCTGATTTCATAGACTGGCTGCTGCCGGTTCACTCCAGCTACAAAAACCTCCAACAGAATACTCCATGCAAAGCTCGGATTAAGTGGTCACAGCTTCATTTAAATACAGAATAGTAGGTCTAAAACAAAGGTTTAACTGCTAGAGTCAATATAATGTTATTTAGAAAGGGACACAATGTGTGAGGATGAGGTACACTATGCACTATAGTAGTGGTCACTGAAGCAAGCAATTCATATAAAACTACATTTTCAGGTGCTCATTCACCCTGACAGGAGAAGACAAGCCTACCTCCTCATGTTTGTCACAGGCGGATAATTCTCAAGCAGGTAGCCTGTCTCTATTCAGAACCCTCTCAGAGCAGAGAATACAGCAAGAATAATTGTCCCTTTACTGATGACTTACATTTGATGCCAGTCAATCACAATTACTAAGAAGCTTACTGGAGGGGGGGAACAGAGAGAGACACATTGGCTTAAATGGTATTCCACAACGCACAGCCTGCTACCAAATGAGGAAGAGAAATAAGAGGGCAGTGGAGAGACAAAAGGAAAGACCCTCAAATCAGGACAAGCTACGTTTAGCTGAAAGAGTAGTAGGCAGAAGATTCCTCTCATGAGTCCCAGCTTAAGTTTAAGCAGAGCACATATCAGGCAACAGGTTACAGTCATGGATGTAATTAACATTATGATCCCTAGCTGTTCACAAAGCTATATGCATTGTGCAGTACTATAGTACAGGAAGCAAAATCTTTGTACATTGTGCTCTATTGTATATAAACCACTGATCTTTATTTATGACTGAAAACTGTCCGGTTTAGATCATATCTGGCAATGACTACAATGGGAAGGATGCTACAATGTAGTCAGAGATTATCTCTATGTTAAACTGATGGAAGGTTGAGATAAAGTGTACTTTTCATCTCCATGTTGTACACGTATTGATTTTAAGCACTGAGTTCCCAAATATGATGATCTGAAACTCACAATTATTTAAAAAGAGTGTTCTTTTGGAGAACTTTAAATGTGCTATTTCCAAATTGTTGCTGTATAAAACAGGTTTCTGGGCCAAGAGAAAAATACACACAATATAAATCTTGACCTTGTCAATATATTCGCTTGTTTTTTTTCCTAAGCATATGGATGGGGCATAGGTCTCCAAAATTTAAATAAAGCACAGGTCATTAGAATCAAAGAAAATAAACATGGACAACATGAATTTGTAAGGGAAAAGGATGATTAGTTCTGTAGGAGTATCTTGCCTGGAAATGATTATGTCTATTGGTTCAATATAATTGCCCAGGCAGAATAGGTAAACAATTAAAATAATTTTCTAAAACTTTAACTTTGGAATACCAATATTTTTGTAAAATAAAACACTTAACCATTGCCCAAGAAACACCAGCTAGTCATATATCTGGGCCAAAACGTGTGGTCTTCACTCAGGCAAACTATCCTTTAAGTTCCAAGCAAGTAAGAATCAAGTAAGGACGGCAGGATTTGGCCATGATGTTGATAGATAATTAAAGGCAGCTGCCTGTCCAGTACATTTTGACAAAAGGAGGCTAGAGAACAAATACTTATCACTGTGTGAAATGGAACTGAATAGCAGAACCCTTTTCTGTTGTATCTGCCCACTGTATATGTTTACGAAGTGCTTGTCCCCAACTTGCCAAACACTGAATTTTTGACCAGTGGTATGACCACTCTCAAACCTTCTGTGAAGGCTTTGATTGCAGTGCTGTTTGAGCTAACTCATGTACACTGGACAGTGCAGAATTATCTAACCCTCAAACCCAAAATACCACTAACATAGTGACTATGTAGTCTTTTCCATTGCTCCTAGGCAGCAGTAGATCTTACCCTACACAGGCATTTTCAATTATACTTTATTTTTAGCTAACGGTTCTATGTAGTCTGTTATCTCACTTAACAGACTTGATAAGAATATATTGATTGCTCTAACTCAGGTCCTTCTGTAGAAAACACATTATTTGATCCAGGGCTTGCAAGTTAATTCTATTTATGGGCTGTCCATGATCAGACCTTTCCCCTACATATTGAGCTCTGCTATGTTGTTTGCTCCCCTTGTGCCTGTAAGGGAGATAGGATCTCATAAGAATTAGGTTTTCAAAAATTAGGCACCAATTTGCACCAACAAACAACATGCAAACATATGTGCAATGTCCTTTGCACACTTAGACCTCATACTTGGACTTGAAAATCAAGTATTTGTGGATATAAAGGGAATTATGAGGGTGCACACATAATGGATCCCTTCATATATATTGACATTATTCAATTTACAGTCATTAGCATTACTGCTTTGCATACCAGCAATATTAAACTCTTTCTAGATACCTAGTTATTACCACATAATTTATGGCACCTAATTCACTCCATTAGTAAATAACAAAAAAGAGACAAAAATAATGAGGCTATTTTCCAATCAGTTTTTGAGAGGGAAATAGTACTAAAAATATTTAGATGAACTATATTTACATGAGCTCTTTGGATATTGTAAGAGAATTTTCATTTCCACTCATATCATTTGCTTTTATTTATAATGTGTATGCATTAAAATAATTACTGTTGCATTCATTGACAGAAAGGGCATCAAAATATTGTGATGAAACAGGAAATTGGTTCCGACATCCTGAGAGCAATCGGACTTGGTCAAATTATACGCTGTGCAACTCTTTCACTTCTGAGAAACTGAAGGTAAGCTACAAAAAAAATCAGTATAGTCCAAGAATTATATGAAGCTGAACCAGCAGCAAATTATTTGTGAAAGGTTTCTATTGTCTAAAGATGAACAAGGGCACCACAGCTTTGTTCCTATAGCAACAGTATATGAAATTATATAGTGGCTTGTTTCTCTGTGTACAGTCATACAGATATACAACTGTACTAATAGTCATGGATAAAATAGCGTTGGGAAAACGCAGATAAAATAGATAAGCAACATTAGTAAAAGGGAATAGAAGCCAGAGTTCATCCTACCTACCAGGGCCACCGAGTCAGGTTCCATCTTCTGGCCTTACAATTCTTGAACTAGTTGATATTTCACATTTACTCCCTGAATGAGCAAACTCAGAACTATTAATTAGTTTTCTTCTGGGCTAAAGCTCAATGCAACTCAAACATGACTTTTTGCAAGCAAATGTTATCACCCCACACTTGATTCCTTTGAAAAATGATCAGTATAGAGATATTGGTAGAGTAAAAGTTATACAAATCTGCTGCACACACTTAACACTTCTACTAGAGTCTTAACACTTCTACTCAAATCAGAATTATTTGCCTGAGTAAAGTTAAATATGTACAAAAACTCTTCCAGGATCAGGACATTAGCCTCAAGGAAAAAATTAAAAATAATGCAGTTTATGAAAGATAAATCGGCAAGGGGCAAGAAATGTGAGTAAAAGCTTTTAAAAAAATACAGCATTTTTGGCAGTGATCATGCAAATCAATACATTTCTGAAAGCCAAGTGGCAAGAAGACCTGATTACAATAAATGATCTGTAACTCCTTGGAATTCTGGAAGGAAAAGAATCAGAAACTGATGTGTTGTTTTCATGCCTTTTTAAATAGCTACTCACATCTCTGTGGTTATATTCAGCCATTCTAATGAGCCATTCTACAGTATGTTAGAGAGGGCTATTGGATTGCCGTAAGATGAACTCTGAAAAATGTCAAATTATAAAGAGCAATAACTGTAAAATGGGCTAATCTGGAGAATAAGGAGGGAATAATAGTAACAACTCAAGATCTCAAAGGTTTAAATAGAAGGGCCATAAAAAAGTCACTTTTCCAGATGTTGACCCATGTAGGGAGGCAAAATGTAGCTCTGTTACCTATTAAGCATGCCTTCCAGAAGAAGAATTTTGACAATTATTCAGCCAAAGTACAGATGAAATAGAAAGGAAAATTGTGCATAGGTTGGGATCCTTTTGCAGCAAAAAAATAATGGAAAATGCAGAAAGAACCTAGTGTATTCTACAACAGTGCCAAGGTGTACTCTAAACTTTAATCCACATGTTCATAAACCAAGCATGTATCTTATTTATAGACTATTTTCCTGTACATTCTGATAATCTCATTAATATTTCAGCAAGAGGTCTTAAACGCTGCTTTAACATAGGTTTCCCAAGTTAAAAATTTTGAAAAAAAATTAACATGAAAAGCGTTTCTTTTAGTAGCTTTCTAAGCAAAAGATGAAAAACTCTTTTGAAAGCCATGGAATTAGCATCAACTTGGGAGATAAAGCACAACAAGGGGGAGTTTTTAGGAATGCAAAATAGTTCAATCTTTTTATGAATTTAATGGGAGAAATTTTATTTCTGAGACATTAGTTCATAAATCTACATCAAAGCATCTGTTACAATGTACAGATACACCATATGTTTATTACTTGGCATTCCAATGTATTCATATTTGCCCTAATTTTTACTTTTAGAACTATATATTAAAGAAACATAAATATGTTAAAATATTGTTTTTCACAAATGCTACTTTTGACTTTCAAGTATTATGTTAATATGTCATAGTCCTAAAATTAAAATGTATTAATTTGAATGGGTCCTAGTCTTCCAGGATACACAGACACTTAATTGTCAGTACCCCTACCACTTATCTGTCTTAAAGCTCTTTTATACCAGTGCTCATGTACTGCACAACATATCAAAATATTTAGGCATTGTTTGTCTGTTAATTAATTTTTTTAATTCAAGGCATACTGCCAAGAACGCAAAAACAAAAGCAAAACCCTAGCAATGACACAGAAGTGAAGAATGACAAAGATGTATATGAAAAAAAAAAAGAATTATAAACAGAAATTTGTCTTGTCTTACCACTTTCTATTTTGTCCTCTGGAGTTCCTAGCTAAACTTCTCTCTGGAGTTTCTGACTAATTAGGTCCACAGGAAAGTGTCACAGTCTACACGTGCACCTGTATTAGGGTGCAGTAAACTAATAACTCCATTGTAGGATAGTACTATCCAGGACAAGTACAAGGACTACAGCGGAGTAATTACATGGGCTTAAACACACGCGTAGACTGTGACTGAAGCTGGGTAGGGCATGAGGGTGCTATAGTGCAGGGGCTGCCTGCCACCTAGCCCTGCACTGTGGTACCTTTGCACTCCAGCCAGCCCCTCCACCACCTGAAGCCTGGGGCTCACTGTACCGTGCCCCGTCAGCTCAGGGCTGCTCCGCACTGGCTCAGATTGCTGTGGTTCCAGGCACCTGTGAAGGTGCTGCACCGAGGAAGCAGCTGATTCTAGCACAAACTGCACCAGAGTGTATTCAGGTGCATTAATAGCACATGTAGATGCACCCACTCTGTAGGGGCTTAATTCTGATATACAGGAAGGCTACTCTACATTATTTTAGTAGATGCCAGCAATCTGGTAAATGACATTTACCCACTTTGAGGCCCATGTACGCAGTCAGACAGCTGTAATGTGATCATTTTTAGAACAGAGAGAGAGAAAGATGACATAAGAGCTGTAAAATTTAAACAGCATAAACAGATATAGAAATCAGACATCTCTACCAAGGAGAATTAATTTTTCTGTTTTTTGTTTAATTCAAAGTAAAAAACATATTGACACCCCCACAAACTCAGAATGAGGAATGACTAAAGAAAGTTGGGTAATTAGAAGATGGCCATAAATTAACTGAAGATGAGTGAGGCAGAAGCATTGTATGAAACACCTTTTCTGTCTTTATTCTTCCCACATTTCCAGAAACACAGGAGGAAAAGGGAAGGAAGAGGGGTAATGATAAATATGAAAATAATACCTATAATGCTGGTACAGTTCTTAAGTATTTCATGGAGGAGGACATTCCTTTAAAAGGAGTTCATTTAATCATTTAAAAGGAAATAAGAGAAAGGAAAACTGCTTCTATGTAACAAAAGGAGAATTAATGAAGTATATCTGAAAAGAAAGTAAGCCTGGAAGAACAGCTAATAATGCTTTTCCAAAATGTGCTGATTAAATATCAATACTTTCATTACAGAAGGTGAGAGTAGAGCAGGGGTGGGCAATTATTTCAGGCAGAGGGCCACTTACCCAGTTTTGGCAAGCTGTCAAAGGCCTCATGGGTAGCCCCATCCCTTGACAGGTGCCCCTCCCCTGGTCACCATCTTGGGATCTATGTCCCAGAGCCAGCACCAGTAGGGCCCAAAGCAGGGCACAGGCTGGCAGGGGTCTGTGGAGCCGGGCTGGGCTGCACCAGCAGGGAGAGGGGGGAACTGGCCTGGCTTCATAGAGCCCCTACTGGCTGGGACCCCGCGCTCCTGCCACCCTGTTCTGGGCCCCGCTGGCCCTGGAACAATGGTGCAGGCCCTGTGCTCCCACTGGCTCCTGCACCCGCTCACACCCAGTGCCCCCCAGCCCCGCGGTACAGGCGGGAGGCAGTACACAGCCCCAACCCACTGCTTGCCAGCAGGGAAGAAACTGGTGCTGAGCGCAGGGAAAAGCGGCCCCTCGCCCACCTCATGGCCAGTGCTCGCTGCTGCACGTGCTCGCAGCCCACGTGGGGCTGTCTGGAGCAGGCACAGGCAGCCCATGTGGGCTGCAAGCAGCTACAGCACAGGGCACTGGCCATGGGGTGAGCGAGGGGCCGCTTTTCCCCACACTCAGCACCAGCTTGTAACCCAGCCCTGCTGCCAGCCTGGGCTCTGCTCCGGCTCTGGGCTTGCCTGTCAGAGCTCACATGCTGGGCAGCCCACAGGCAGCAGTGGCAAACACTGCCTGGCACGGCAAGCGGATGGGCCACAGCTGCTGTCGCCACGTGCAGCCCCAACAGGTGAGCCTGGAGCTGGCGTGGGGCCCAGGCTGGCAGTGGGGGCAGGTTACAAAGTTGTGCTGAGCAAGGTGGGGGGGGAAGCGGCTCCTTGCCACCCTGTCGCCAGTGCCCTGTGTCGCAGCCATTCTCAGCCCACGTGGGGCTGTCTGTGCCCGCTCCAGACAGCCCCACATGGGCTGCGAGTGGCTGCAGCAGGGAGCACCAGCCATGGGGCAGGGGAGGAGCCGCTTTCCTCTGTGCCAGGAAGGAGCCCGGGGAGAAGCTGAGCATGGCTGCGAATGGCTGCAGCACAGGGTGCTGGCCATGGGGTGAGCAAAGAGCTGCTTTTCTCCCCCCATGCTCAGCTTTTCCCTGGGCCACTTTCCCCTGGGCTCCTTCCCTGCCCTCCCCCCCACCTTACCTGAAGTTCCGGCACCACTGGGGCAGCCATGTGGTCCCAGGCCAGAAGCCCCTGCAGGGACTTCCAGCTGGGGGTGGGGGGTGGGGCGGGGCAGGCCCTACTGTTGTGGGAGCCCGCCAGGCTTCCCCTGGGTCCTACTGCCCTTGCTTCCTGTCATTTTTGACAGGAACCAAGGGCAGATAAATATTAATTTTCTAAATTTTTAGCGGCCCCGTGGGCCAGATAGAATGGCCTTGCGGGTTGGATCCAGCCCGTGGGCCATATTTTGCCCATCCCTGGAGTAGAGCCTTGCAGGCAGCCAGATTCCTGTACCTGTTTCACACCATGTCGCACCTAAATGACACTCCAGGCCTTGGCTGAGAACAAATATGACATTTAAATATTGTAGTATTGTGGAGCCAGTGCTGATCCACATGATTGTCGTCCAATAATAATTTGACAGCAAATGATGTAAAGGTAGGCCTATCTTACATTTCAGTGGGTGCATCTACATGAGACATTTACTGCAGAATAGACTAAACTAATTAACTGCAATAAACATCTTGCATCTTCATGTGCAGGGCTGTTAGGCTAGAGTAAACTAATAAACTCTGCAGCAGGGTAGTACTTGTATTTTACTCTGCAGTACTGCACACGTGGATGTTGATGGGTGGGGACTGCCTCTGGATAGTCCCATGCTGAAGTACGTTCATGCCCTGGCCAGCCCCTCCACAGCAGGTTGAGGACAGCAGGAGCAGCTCTGGGTTGGCAGGCTGACCCTCAGGACCCCCTGGCAGCCAGGGCTGCTTCAACACAGCTCAGCATGCTGCAGTCCTGGGCACATGTGTAAATGCAGCACTGGGAAGCAATAAACTCCAGAGCAATAAGCTCCAGACTTTATTACTTTGCATTAATTGAGCATGTAGACACACCTGGTGATATCAACCAGAATAGGGGGCTGATTCTTTTGCCATTCACAGTGACTTTACATCACTGTTACTGTAGAAGGTTACTTTAGATTCATACCAGTCTGAATCAGTCCTATGAACTTCCATGAATTTCTCTTTATTTAAAGTGATATAGATATATACATAGGTTTGGACCTAATCTTTTTCTCTTAAAGTCAACAGGAATTTTGCCTTTGGCTTTTGTGGAGCAGGGACAGAGCTGCACATGCAAAAACCACTTAATCTCATCTCTTTACCTTCTCAGCCGTGCCTTTTAATTTATTAGGAATATTTCAGGCATATCTTAACAGTGAATTTGAATAAAAAGAAATCAAAATTCCTCGTTTGCTTCCACAAATTGTTGCGCACAACACTAAATAAATTACTTCTCACCAGTTTTTCATACCTATCTTTTTATTTTAATTCCAGATGGCATTCATACTTTATTATATGGCTATAGTAGGCCATGCTTTGTCAATAACGTCGCTCTTGATTTCCTTGGGGATTTTCTTCTATTTCAAGTAAGTGGTTTTGATAGTTTATATTTTCTTCTCCTCTCTCAGATGCTGCTAAACGCCAGAGGTATTTAACCAGGAAAAAAAGTTAGAAGGTGGCTTAAAAGTTATACTCAGTTCTCTTTAGTATTTTTTTCTGATAATGCTAGAAGAAAAGAACTGAAGCAAAAGCTGTGCAGAGTGACATTAAATACCTGACCATAGAAGGATTTTTCCAGTACAAGGCAGCTTTCTCACTGTTCTATTTATTATCTATATTCTATGCTATCACCTTTTCTATGGCTGGCATGCAAGCTAGGGCCAGTAGAAAGAGGCGGCATAGAGGGCCTTACTGAGGGTATTATGCTTCACTCGTTCACTGGTTACCTTTTGACTTTTTAAGTATGCTGGGAGGTATTGTCATACCAGAGGCTCAAATCTGACTATAATTTGAAGCCATCTCCTCCCCAACCCCCCAAATGTAACTGACACTTCTCATATGTTGTGACAGATCTGAGCCACTAACTTCAGAGAAACAGACATATTGGGCATGTCTACACAAGATGCTTTACTGTGCAGCAGACTAATTTGCGGTGCAGTAAAGCATCGCCATGTACACATGTGCAACAATTAGGGTACAGTAGACTAATTGACAGTGCTGTGCTGGATAGTCCCGTCAGATACAAGTGGTATCCAGCAGCACAATAAATTACTGTGCTTAAAACATATGTAGACAGAGACCTTGAGATTAGTAAACTCCAGCTCAGATTGAGCCAGAGTATATTGAGTCACATGAATTGCATGTGTAGATGCACCCATTTACTAGTAATGAGTGAACTGAAAATAAATTTTGTAGGGTGTACTCATCCTCTCAGTTTCACTGAATATCATAAAGTAAGGTCCTGCAGTATAATTTTTGAAGATCACATTCTGATTGTTAAACATTTTTGCATCTGCTATATGCAAACAAACAGGGAAATTGAATCTTATTCTTCTGAGTGTAAGTCTGTCATATAGTGTATAATAAAGCATCTCTGTTGAAATAGCAGAGGGATTTCCTTGGTTCAGTTTGCCCTCAGAAATATATTCACAACATCCATCAAATTCAGTAAGACTAGAAAAAGACCGAGAACATACTAAAGCTTTCTTTTTCTATAAAGAGAAACTATAAAAATCCAACTACTGCATGTCTAACACAGTACGTCCTGCAGTCATTTCTGATTTTAAATAAAATGACAACTGAGTGTACTATGAGGAAAATGTTCAAACATAAAGAGAACGATTGGGAAGGATCTCAACTGTTGTAAATCGGCATCGACTTCAATAGAGCTATGCTGATTTCCACAAGATATGTCCTTCAGACTCTTAAGCACCATAATTATGGCACTTAGCTCTCATGATAATATTATAAATAGTAACATTTCAGTATAGATAGCATCTCTCTAAGGGTTGTTCTAGCTGCATATAGTCCCAAGTATTTTGGTGAAAAAAGGAACAACAGAAGAGTTTTACAAACACCTCATTTTTAATGGAATTATATCAGTTAGCACCACTACCATGTTCTAGCCCCTCAGCTTTCTAAGCTACGAATGCACTGTCATATGCACTGTCAGCACAGCACATCCAGAATGAGGCACAAGAAAAATGGACATCTGAAAGGCCAATGAAAGACTTCTAAAATTAAATTACAGGAAACTGACTCAACAAACTTCTCCACACTGGGCACATCTACATGAGATGCCAATTGTGCAGTAGCTGAATAATACTGCGCAGTAGCACATCACAGCACGTCAACGGTGCTAATACATTACTATGTGATGTTATTAGCTACTGCCCTGTAGTGTCACTAAAAAGTCATTCACTAATGCTACTGCGCAGCAACTCCAGTTACTGCACATTTATTTAGTACTTAGTTATGCAAGTACTAACTAAATGTGCAGTAACCACTGCACAGTAGAATCTTATCTAGATGCACCCACTGTGACCCTAGACAGGTATAACAATTAAAAGAGGGTGTCTGCCTCAGAGGCAATGACAAACAGAATAACATCCAACTAGTTTTTCAGATCCAGCATTAATTTTACATCTTGCAGAAATACAACAAGAAAAAAAACCAACATCAAACCTAAGGAAATGAATTAACCATTTGTTGGGAGATAAAGACCTTAAGGCTAGGGACAGACATTACACATAAAGTGGTTTAAGTGATCGGATGGTTTAAACCTGTAACAGGACATCAGTTCAGTGCACATAAACCAGTTTCAAAATGGCTGAAACTGGTTTAAGATAAACCTGAATTTAGTATCAGATTTAACTGATTTGAGTCAAACTGGTTTATGCACTGTCTGTCTCAGACCCCTTCCTGGTTGAAGTTAAACCAGAGTCCCCCAGCATCCCAGATGCTTTGTAGCCCTGGGATGGGCTGGGCTGGGCTAAGCTGTGCTCTCTGCTTCAGAGAAGAGGCTGGCCCTGCCCCTCTCATTCCTAGCCAGAACTCCAGGGAAGACTGCAGGCACGGCAGGGTCTGCCTGGCTTCCCCCTGTTCCACTCCTCCTTCCCCTCATTGCTTAAGCAGGGATTTCCCCCTTCTTCTCTCCCATCTCCCACAGCATGGACCCTAGCCCCACAGGCCCTAGGCATGTGGTATGCTAGCTAATGCTAAGAGGTAGGGGTGGGTGGGTGCGTGCGTGTGCATGCATGCATGTGTGTGTGTGTGTGTCCAATTTCACTGGGACAGGACAAAGGCAGACAGAAGAGTGTCCACTTAGGGCTTTTTGGAGCTAATCAACAGATCAGCTAGTAATGTCCCTCCTTGGAAAAAGCTGTTTAAGAAGAGCTTAAATTAATGAGAGGGGCTTTGTTTTTCTTTGTTTTGTTGTGAAAAACACGATGGTTTTATCAGCCCCCCTCCACCCCCCCGCTGGTTTGCAGCCCTGTCAGGTTTGCAGACAGGGAGAGGGATATTGAAAAGCTCAGTATCATCAAAAGATACATGCACTGCCCATTAGGGCTGTGTGAAGCTTTGGTTGCTGATGCGATTCAGCGGAGATTTGGCCCAATTTGGTGGCCAAATCTACAAATCCAAATCAAATAAGGAGACCCTTTAATCTCTCCGAATTGAATCGGAACCCTCCGAATTGATTCGGAGAGATTCAGACATAGACACAGCTTTAGATATTTTTTCTACATACCTCAAGGTACCAGGTGGTTTATCAATGCTGAGATGGTGGGGTGGATGGAGCATCCCACAGGAGCATGGCGGGGAGGTCCCCAGCAGACCCGGAAGTAGACCAGAAGCACTTCAGGTCCACTTCCAGGTCCACTGCAGAGCGTGTGGGGGACCCTCCCCGCTCCCCTGCAGCTCAGTGACTGGTGCCTCCTGGGTCTGGGGAGGCACCCGGGGTCCCCCCCCATGGCCAAGCACTGAGCCAGGAGGCTCGGGGGGGGGTCCCCCATGTGCTCAGCAGTGGACCAGAAGTACTTCCGGTCCACTTCAGGGTCCATCATCGAGCACACAGGGGGGCCCTCCTGCATTCCTGTGTGACACTCCATCCACCCCACAATTGTAGCATTCACGAGCCATGCCTGGTACCTCGAGGTATGTAGAAAAAACATTTAAAGCGGTGTCTATGGCCGAATCACTGATTCTCTGAATCAGCATTCAATCTTCAGATTTGGATTCAGCCAAATCAAATAAGGACAATCATCCAAATCAGTGAATTGAATCACTGTCCCCGATTTGGGCCGAATCCAGCCCATTTCACACACCCCACTGCACACACCCCCTTTACCTCAAACTGCTAGCCTGGGGCTGGAGTCTGGCAATGCTTCCACCCCTTGGGCAGTGAAGCTGTGCAGGCCACTGCCCCCCCCCCACAAGTACTGTGGAAGGAAAGGGAGGGCTGCTCCACTGCCCCCTGGTTTCTAGCCCAAGCCACTGCAGGCATGTGCCTCCATTTCTGGAATGAAAAGGGAATGTCTATCCACCTCCAAATCGGTTCAAGCTTTGCAGGTTAGACTAACCTGCAAAGATTGAATCAATTCAGGCTCAGGCTTTTTGAGTGTCTGTCCTTAGCCTAAAAGATTGCCATTAATATTTGAGCATTCAAAGGTATAAAGAGCAGAAAAACATGAATTTCTGCTCTAAAATGGTTTTCATACAGTGAAAAGGTAATTGTACAATAATGACAAATTGGTAATAACTTGGGGTTGGGTACTAAGGTGCATGCTTGATAGCTGAGAGGTTGCATGTCTGAGGCCATAGCAGACACACTTATGGCATAGCCCTGTCAGATTCCAACAAATTTGCAAATTCTCCAAATACGTTGTCACAACAGGGACATGAGAAGGAAGTATCAGTAGCCAATGAAATCTGTCACCTTTGTTGTTATAAAATCATATTATTTGGAGATTATAGTTAACCTTAAAATTAATTTTATGCTGAAAGGAATCATCTGCTAATTATGTTGACACACAAACATAGATGGCTTCAGTATTTTCAGTTTGGTGAAGTGTTTGAAAGCCAATTTGAAAGAAACCAACAACATTGTATTTTGAGACAAGTTCAGAGGAGTTAGGAAAATAGGTTCACCCTACAAATATATTCATAAAGCTATAGGACTGAAAGTGAGATGGAATTAATCAGTGTAAAAGCAGTCATCTGAAATAAAAAACTGGACATGGACTAATTTATGATTGATGTCAGTGATTTAAAACACATTATTAGAGAGGTAACAGCTCTAGAGAACTAATTATCCAATGGAAAAATATGTCTCTCAATTTTGTTTATGCCTCACAGAGAGTTTGATGAAGGGTACATTAGAAGGATAGATGTTAGGTGTGAGCAAGGGAGGGACTTTTTTGAGATAACAGTTTGCCAGATACTCATTTTTAATTGCCTGCTTTTCTTTAATCCACATTGTTTTTGCATGTACATAGAGCATATCCATACTACATGGGCCAGGCTCCCTGCTAATGTGAATCAGAATATCTCCTTTGACTTTATTGGAGTTATGCAATTTAAACAG